CCCAATGGTTTGCTTCCTACAAGAAACACACTCTACTGGCAACAAAACAAAAGAAAAAACAAAACCACAGATTTAAAGTAGAAGGAGGGAACAAGATATTCTAAGTAATTGGAACCCCAAAGCTAACAGGAGTAGCTATTCTCTCTTATACCTGATGTAGTAAACTTCAGAACAAAATTTGTCAGAGACAAAGAAGGTCACTGCATATTTATAAAGGGAACAATCCATCACCAAGATATAACAACTATAAACATATATGCAACTTAATGTTAGCACAACCAGTTTCATCAAACAAACACTACAGATTATAATGGCTTAGATAGACCCCAATACAATAATAGTGGGCAACATTAATACAGCACTCTCATCAATAGATAAGTCAGCAAGACGAAGAATCAACATGGAAAACTCAGAGTTAAAAAGCAATATATATATATATGTATATATATACATATATATATATATATATCAAATTACTTAATACACACACACACACACACACACACACACATTATTCCACCCAACAGAACACTCCTTCTTTTCATCAGTCTACAGCTCTCAAAAATATATTTTCAGACATAAAGCAAATCTTAACAATTATAAGAAAATTGAAATAAGAAAATTGAAATAATTTTCTTGTATTTTAGCAGATCATAATGAAATAAAACTAGAAATTAACAGCAAGGGAAGCTAAAGAGAATATTTCAACACATGGAGATGGAAATTATACTTTTGAATGATTAGTGGGTCATTGAAAAAATAGGAGAGGGATTAAAAAAACCTAGAATCAAATGAAAATGAAAACACAATATGCCAAAACCTGTGTGATATAGTGAAATTGGTCCTAAGAGACAATTTTATAGCTATAAAAGCTTGCATTAAAATTATCAGGGCAAATATGATGGCTCAAGCCTGTTGTCCTTTTTACTTGGGAGAAAGAGATTGGGAGGGTCACAATTCAAGTCCAGCCTGGGCCAAAAGTTCACAAGACTCCATCTCAACCAATGACTGGGCACATTGCCTTGCACCTGTCACTGCAACCACATTGGAAAGCACAAATAGGAGGATTGCAGTGTATGCAAACCCAGGTATAAAGACCCTATCTCAAAAATAACAATGCAAAAAGAGTTGGCAGAGTATCTTAAGTGGTAGAGACCCTGCTTGGCAAAAAAATGGGGCCCTGAGTTCAATCCCCAGTACTGCCCCCCAAAAATCATACTGATCTCAAATAACCTAATAATCTCAAGGTCTTAGAAAAGCAAGTATAGCTTAACCCCCAGATTAGGAGAAGGAAAGAAATAACAAAGATCAGAGCTGATATTAATGAAAAAGAAACTAAAACTACTATACAAAAGATTGATGAAACAAAGAGTTGGTTCTTTTAAAGAATAGACAAAATTGTCAAACCCTTAGACAAATTCACCAAAAGAAAGGAAGAGAAGATATAAACTAACAAAATTAGAGACAAAATGAATTATTGCAACAGATAAAATACTAATAATCTATTACTCAACACAAACAAATAGATAAATGTGATATAGCACACAATTAGAATCTTGAACAAAAATCACATGATTATTTCAATAGATGCAGAAAAAGCCTTTAACAAAACTCAGCATCTCCTCATTATAAAAGCCTTAAAGAAACTAGGAAAGAAACGATCATACCCAAACATAATGAAGGCTATATGTGACAGACCTATAGCCATCATTTTGTACTGAAGGATGAAAAACTAGAAGCATTTCCTCTGAAATCACAAATGAGACAGAAATTTTCCACTACTACCACTTTTACTCAATATAGTGCTTGAAATCTTAGCCAAAGCAATAAGGCAAAATAGAGAAATAGAAGGGATATGACTAGAAAGGAAGAAGTCCAATTATCTCTACTTGTAGATGATCTGATTCTATATTTAAAAGACTCTAAAGGGTCTACCAGAAAGACTCTTAGATCTGATAAACACTTTCAGCAAAGTAGCAGGATATAAAATCAGCATACAAAAATCAGTAGCTTTTCTATAAACAGCAAATTCATTGACAATGAAACCAGGAATATAACCTCATTTATAATTATCCTCACCAAAGTAAAAATACCTGGGAATGAACCTAAACAAAGATTTGAAAGACCTGTATAGTGAAAATTATAAAACATTGAAAAAGAAATTATAGAAGACATTAGAAGGTGGAAAGACATCCCATGTTCAAAGATCAGCAGAATTAATATTGTGAAAATGGTCATATATCTGAAAGCCATCTATAGATCCAATACAATACCCATCAAAATTCCAATAAATTTCTCAATAAAATTGAATAATTCAATTCTAAAATTCATATGCAAGCACAAAATTGCTACAGCAATTTTGAGTAAAATACAGCAATGATGGAGTTATCACAATACCCAAACTTAAATTATATGATATCTCCATCATAACAAAAACAGTATGGCACTGACATAGAAACAGACGTGTTGACCAGTGGAATCTAACAGTGGACCCAGAAATAAACCCACACAGCTACAGCCATCTGATTGCTGCTGAAGCATACAAAATATATAACTGGGCAAAAGACTATCTCTTTTTAAAGTTGTGTTGGGAAAACTGGATATTTACGCATGTAAGGCTGATTCTAGAACCCTACCTCTTCCTCTGTACAAAGATCAACTCCAAGTGGATCATTGACCCTCATGTCAGACCTGAAATTCTGAAACCAGTACAGAAAGATACGGAGAAAACACCTCAAGATATAGGAATAAGCCAGGACTTTCTGTATGAGACTATAGTAGCTCAGGAAATAAGAGCAAGAATTAACAAATGGGATTGAATCAAGGTAAAATGCTTCTTCACATCAAGGGAAAAAATTATCAGAGTGAAGAGATAGTCTAGGTACTAGAAGAAAATGTTTGTCAGATGTTTATCTGATAGGATCAATATTCAGAACTTATAAAGAACTCAAGAGAAACTACCAAGAGAGCTAATAATGTGATCAGGAAATGGACAAATGCATGGAACAGGCAATTTTTAAATGAAGATATATAAATGACCAATGAATACATGAGAAAATATTCGATAACCTTTATCCATCAGAGAAATGCAAATCAGTACTGCATTAAGATTCCAACTCACTCCAGTCAGAATACCAAAAACAAAAAAAAATAATGCTGGCAAGGATGTGGGGGGAACAGAATCCTTACACACTGCTGGCGGGGATGTCAATTTCAAGCTACCATGAAAATTTGTATGGAGGTTCCTCAAAAAACTAAAAGTAGAACTATCATATGATTCATCTGTACTACTACTGGCTGTACACCTGAAGGAATCAAAGGCAGTGTACAATAGAGACACCTGCACATCCATGTTTACTGTGGCACCATTCACAAAGCCAAGTCATGGAATCAGCCTAGAACCTCATCAATGGATGGATGGATAAAGAAGATGTGGATGGATTATTAATTGACTATTATGCAATGGATTATTGTTTGATCATTAAAAGGAATGGAATCATGCCTTTTGTAGGAAAATTTTAAACAAATTAGAGATCATAATGCAAAGCAAAATAAGCCAGACTCAGAAAGAGAAATACCACATATTTTCTCTCATACATGAAAAAAAAAAACCCATGAAAGTAGAAGTACTATTAGGGAATAGTACAAGGACTAGTGGGAAGGTGGAGAAGTGAGAAATATAGTCAAAGTACATTGATGAAAATGTCATTATGAAACATTCTATTTTTTACAATTAATACACACTAATTTTAAAAAGAAAAAAATTGAGCTGAGAATAGTGGCTTACACCTATAATCCACGCTATTTAGGAGGCAGAAATTGGGAGGATCGTGGTTTGAGGCAAGTCCAGGCAAAAAGTTAAAGAGACCCCCCATCTCAACAAAAAAGCTGGGTGTGGTGGTGCTTGCCTTTCATCCCAGCTATGTGGGAGGTAAAAGTATGAGGATCATAGTCCAGACCAGCCTGGGAAAAAAATGGTGAGACCCTACCTGAAAAGTAACTAAAGCAAAAGAGCATGACTCAAGTGGTAGAGCACCTGCCTAGAAAGTGTGAGACCCTGAGTTCAAACCCCAGTACCACCAAAACCAGTAAAATGTTGGCTAGGTGTGCTAGTACACTTTGTAAACCCAGCTACTCAGGAGGCGGAGACAGGAGGATCACAGTTTGAGGTTGGCATGGGCAAGAAGTTAGCAGGAACTTATTTCAAAAAACATGGCGGGTGTGATGGTACATGTCTATAATCTCAGCTAATTGGGAGGTGGAGGTAGGAGGAGTATGGTTCAAGACCATATCTGAAAAACAAACTAAAGCAAAAGGGCCAAAGGCATGGCTCAAAGAGAGCACTTGCCTAACAAGCACAAGGGCCTGAGTGCAAACCCTAGTACTGCCAGAAAACACTTAAAAGTACAAATATAAAGGAAAAATTAAAGAACTAAAAAGAAATTAAAATAATTTTGGTAACAATTTGTGCTTCTGAATTCATGTTTTCCTGAGTGACCCAGAAAGTTGTGATTTCTTTCCTTGGAATTATGTTTATCCACACTTTAAGGCCCTCAGTGTAACAGAAATACTTTGACAACTTGGGTATCTAGGGGACCTTAAAAGAAACTTCTCTGAGTATTTCTAAGCCACTTCAAAACCAGTGACCTAGAGATTTTTTTTTTTTTTTTTGGCAATATTGGGGATTAAATCCAGGTCCTTGTACTTGCTAGGCAGGCCCTTGGCCACTTGAACCACATCCAGTCTTTTTGTTGTTGTTGTTAAGTTTTTGCTAACTTTGCCCCACCTAGCCTCAAATTTTGATCCTCATACCTCTGCCTACCAAGTAGCTGGCAATACGAATGTATGCCGCCACACCCAGCTTCCCTGTGGGTTTTGCTGAGGTCTTTACATGAAACGCCTTCAAACTGTAATTTATTCAGCTCTGAAAACAAGCATCCTTGACTTATTTTACATGTGATCCTACTTCACGTCTGGATCTGACCTGACTCTAAATGAAGATTACCAGTGCAGGATTTGTCATAGAAGCAGAGGATAGAAGGATGCTCACTGAAGAGCAAGTGAGAGACTTCTACAGTTCAATGGAAGACCAGGTAAGAAGGCCTAAGAACAGTCATTATGCTTACAAGTATATTCAGATACAATTATTCCTTTAAGCTTCCGATCTTCATTGCAGAGCAGCAAATGGGTGAGCCTGGACAGTTACTTAAGCTTCAGGTGTTCCTGATGGTGTTCATAACTTGGTGATGACAAAGGTGGCTGCTGTAGGGAAATCTCCTGTATGGAGAAAGACCCTCAGGCAAAACCGAATGGTGGGAGTTGTGTTTTACTGAAGACCTCTTTTGTTGTGTCCTCTGGAAGAGAATAGCTTGTCTTTTCTTATAAATTTTGACCCTGTGCTGAAGGCTCTCCTGGTCATGAGCTACACCGGAAGGTTGTAATCCATTCTTTGCCTGAGGTCCTTTTGCTCCTAGACTGTATGTGTGTAAGATCTGTTTTGCCTAGTAGAACTTGATAAAGGAGGTGGTAAGTGTTAAAAGTGTGCGGGCTTGGGGTTCAGGAGACCTAGTTTCTAAAAACCTGCTGTCCAATTTGGTGGTCAGTAGATACATGTGACCATTTGAATTTAAATTTATTAAGATTAAATAGCATTAAAAATTCAGAATCTAGTGCTCTCGTCACATCTCCATAGCTCAATAGCCACAGGTAGCCACTGTGCTGGAGAGTGCGGAAAATTCTACCGGACAGTGCTTTGTAGAACTGGCTGCATCATTCAGGCTATCTCTTTTGACCCCAAATTCCACTCATATAAAATAAAAGTTTGGACTAGTTGTATCAGCAACAACTGTGACCTTTGGGGAAAATCGAACTCATGAACTTTACCCAAAAGCTATTGTTTAGTCGCTTTCCATGGCAGGGACAAAATACCTAAGAAAAATCAACTTAAAAGGAGAAAAGACTGACTTTGCTCATGGTTTCAGAGATTTCAGTCCAGGGTTGCTCAGCTCCATCTCTTTGGGCCTGTGGCGAGGCAGAACATCATGACAGAGAGTGTGTGGTGGAGCAAAACTGTCCACCTCCTGGTGACCAGGATGCAGGAAAAGGGACAGAGTGGAGGAACCAGAGTCCCAATAGCCCCTTCGAGGGCATATCTCCAGTGACCTCACTTCCTTCCAGTAGGCCCTACTTTCTGCATAGCCCACAAGCCTTAAGCCCATGGTCTTTGGAGGACATTTCAGATCCAAACCCTAATAGTTACTGAATCAACCCCTTTAGGATTGAGCTCCAAAGGTTGTGTTTTGCCAGGTCCCACCGATGAACACATCCTAGTGTTTGAAAGTAGCTGCTTGACTCTCTTTAAGATCAATTCCTGCTAGCCATGCATCTCTATCCCCCAAAATTGTCTTTGCAAACAGGAGGGTCTGTAAGGACTACTTCCTTTTGTTCAGTGATCACGAAGACAAAGTTTTCATTGGACTTGTGCAATAGCTGCCATTTTAGTCCAACCAAGTCAGGAGGCTGAAGAATATAGTTGTCATTTTATTTTGTAGCTTGACTTTGAAGAATTTGTGTCTACTATGACAACTGGCCTTAGCTATGTGCTAGTTATATCTAAAGGGAAAGAACGGCAGGATTCCTTTGAGGAAACTGAATATCAGCCTGAGATGGAGCCTAAAGAAGCTTCTGAGTATGAAGATATGACCAAAGCTGAGTTTACACCTGAAGTGAGGATGAAACGGGTCAGGTAACTAACAGCAGGGGCTTACCATTTACAGTGTGTCACTAAATAATGAAGTGCAATGTCTGAATATCTCAAACCTAAGCACAAATGGTTTTATGTTGCAGACCACAAGTATTTCTTCCAGTCAACCTAAATATTGTATATTCAGAAAAGTTGGGATTGTTCTGAAAATTTCTGCCAAGAATGTTAGAAAGGAACTTGTTTCCCTGCTTGCCTTTCTGAACATGGGCACAACAGTCTGGCCTCATGACCTGGGGCCTGAGGGGTATACAGGAGCCAGGCATAATCCTCTACTTGTCTCCCTCCATCATCCCACATTCTCTTCCTGTCTTTCCTATGCTCTTTCACTTAAGATAGTGGGTGATAACAAATTTCTGATAACAAAACAGTTGTATATGAACATTTTTTTTTTTGGGTGGGACTGGGGTTTAAACTCAAAGCTTTGTGCTTGTAAGTCAGGTACTCTACCACTTGAGCCACACCTCCAGTCCATTTTGCTCTGGTTATTTTGGAGATAGGGTCTTGTGAACTATTTGCCCAGCCTAGCCTCAAACTATGATCCTCCTGATCTCAGACTCCCAAGTATCTAGGATTATAAGCGTGAGCCACCAGTGTCCAGCTGGTGGCTTGTCTTGAATAGCTACATCTGCTGGTTCCTAGCGATGCCATATTTAGTTAGCAGGAGTTTCTACAATTTGTTTTGTTACTGCAGTGTTGGGGATTGAACCCACGACATTGTATGTGCTAGGCAAACACTTTACCACTGAGCTATGCCCCCAGTCCCCAAGCAGGAGATTATAATTTCAGTAGTTCCAAGTTTTAAGCAGGATAGAGGAACTCATAAGGAAATGAAATACTGACAGAGGATTTTGTGGCGGGGGGGGGGGTGACTTTGAGGATTCAAAAGAAGAAGGAGAAGGAGAAAATGGAGAAGTGTCCTGTGAAGCACCCAATGCAATTGGTATGAGAAGTCAGTTGTTCCTGGGTGCCACGGCTAAGGGAACACATCTTCCCTCCATGCAATGTTGAGAAGCCATTGTCTCCAGGTGTTTATCAGCCACACACAACATAACCAATATCAGGGCTTTAATTGGCAGAATGGGGGTGGGATGGGACATGGGACATGTGAGGCTTCAGTGTTTGCTTTTTATACATTGGGAATCCACTTGTGTTTGGCTGGTGTTTCTTCTGAGCAATGGCCACAAGCGAGCCGCCCAGGTGGTGTGGAGCAGTCTGTCTGCTGCCTGCTGCTGTATCATTTTCTCTGCAGGGATGGCCTAGCAGTGCTGTTGCTGCAGTCTGCCATCTTTCAAGCTGATCCAGAGCCTAAAGCTCTAAGGACAAAAACTCTCAAGAATAATTTACACATTTGTGTTCACGCTCACTTTTTATTGCCACCTCTCCCCACCTCAAGTCTCACACTCTCCTCCCTGGATGGTGGGGATGCTGGGAGGGGCAGACGGGAAGCTAAAGGCAGAGCAGTTAGGCTGGTGAGAGTGTTGGGTGGCTTCTTCTATGAATATAAACTGTGTCCAGGGCAGCAGAGCCCTGAGGCTTGGTTGGTTATTCCTACAGGGACACACTTGACATTGTGTGAACCCATTCACGGGAATGCTTCCTTCATGCCAGTGTTAACCTGCCTACCTCCTCCTGGGAAGAGCAGCGAAGAGTCAGGAAAACTCAACACTGGCACCTACATTTTTCATTCACATTCCAGATTTCTTCATAGTGGCTACTTGTTACATGATTTATATCACCCATATGCATGTCTGTCTCTTTAATCAGCCTATGTATTAAGAAGTCAGAGGACAGAAGGCAGAGATGGGGAGGATCACAGTTGGCAAAAAACTAGTGAGACCCCCCTCATCTCAACATGTAAGCTGGGTGGGCATGATGGTGCATGCCAGTAATCTCAACTATGTAGGAGGTGTAGGAAAGAGGATTGCAGTTGAGGCCAGTGTAGGCAAAAAAGGGTAAGACACTATCTAAAAAATAATCAAGCACAATAAGGGCTGGGAACATGGCTCAAATGGTAGACTGCCTGCCTAATAAGACCCTGAGTAAGAACCCTAGTACTCCCAAAGGAAGGAGGGGGAAGTCAGAGGTCAATGTCATTTATTTGCCTTCCAGTTCTACAGATGACAGTGTGGGTCCGTTAGCTGCATTGCTGGGTATTATCAGTGCTTACTGAGGTCTTCACTCATCTGCTCGCTCATTCTGCTATGCATCCATGCATTCATGCAGCATATATTAAAATTCTACTACATGCCATGTCTTGGAAATGCAAAGGAAGAATTAAATGATCTCTGGGGTTCCTTTCAGCTTTAAATCTTTACGGCTGAGTGCAGAGGACATTTCCCGCCTCCCATAATGTACAGATGCTTCTCAACACAAGATAGGATTGTGTCCCAATAGACTCATCAGAAGTTAAAATATCACAAATGGAAGATGCATTTAATCCACCTACCTTATCAAACACCACAGCTCAGCCACAGCAGACTGTTGTTTTCCCTTTGATCATGTGGCTGACTGAGAGTAATGGCTCACTGTTGTCTAGCATGGAGAGAGGATCATGCCACATATCACTGGCTGGGGAAAAGGTCACAATTCAAAATAAGAAGTACTATTTCTAACAAATGTATACTGATTTTGCACCATTGGAAAGTCAGAAAATCACAGGCCAAACCATCTTAAGTTGGGATCATCTCCATGTGTCCCCAGAATTCTATTCCTGGTGACTTCTCTATTTGTCGTGTCTATAGAGAGCTAGATTTTCTTTTGTGTAATTCTTATTTAAATTAAAGATAATAGCTCCAAAAGTGTTTCTAGGATCCGGTGAGTGTGCTTTTGTACGCTGAACTTTCTGGCCTCTCCAGAATCAAAGGGAACCTGCTCCAGTCAGCAGCTGGCTGCAGGTAAGGCCTGGAGCTCTGCTTAGGCCCCTAGCTGAAGAGAAGATGGAATGTGGAGTGTTCTGCACTGAGGGCGGCAATGCCTGAGGTCAGACTCAGGAGACAGGAGCCTGGAAACAAGCTGGCTCTGATAAGAACAAACAGAGTATCTCACAAGGGCAAGGCTGACAGAAGGATATTTCTGTGCTCTAAAAGGCCATGATGGAGTTGCAAAAGTTTCCGGAATTCCTGTCCTTGAAGTTCCCTCAGGGCACAGGCAGCCTTCTGTGTTCTCTCTGCAGCACAGGATCATAACCCAGAGGCCATTTTACAATAGGGCTTACACCACTTAACACACCAAAAGCTACAATGAAATCCCCTGTGACCAGCAAAGGGAAATGACCACCCAACAAAGGGAACTGAGTAGTCAGTGAAAAAGAGCTGCTATTGACAGAATGACTCCTTAACTGAAATAATAATGATAATATCATAACAGTGTTTGAGATCCTGGTGCTATATATACACAAAACTGCCTGTCCAATTTGAATTATAAAAATCATGATTTGAGCTATAAATTCACTGGAAAATGAGAAGGTCTGATAGTCACTTGAAATTGGAATTAATGACTTGGAAAGCAGATGTAAGAAATAGCTCAAAGTACAGAAAGAAAAATAACCTAGACATCATGAGAGCACAAGTAGCAATCTGGAGAATATCCTGGGGATCAATGTGCTAATAAGAGACATTCCATATAGAGAAGAAAGAAAGATGGATAAACTATAATTCAACAAATAACAGGAAAATATTTCCCCTGCAATGAAGAAACACGAGAGTTCAAACCACAATACTGCCACAAAAAAATTTGCCAATGATAGTCTCAAAATTGAACTTTATTGTATAGTATTGCTTAATAGTCAAAGATATGTAAAAGTCCCCTTGCAGCATAAATTTCAGAAATGACAATAATGATAATAGCTTTGTTGTTTGGGCTTGATTCTTACATATGCAGTACAATATAGAGGATGTTTTCTTCTTTCTTCCCTCCCTTCCTTTCTTCCCCCCTCCCTTCTCCCTCTCTCTCTCCCTTCTTTCTCTTATTATCTCTTGCCTTCTTGCTTTCAGTGCCATGGATCAGACCCAGGCCTTTGCACATAAAAGACAAATGCATTGAGCTACCTCCTTAGTCTATGTAGAAGATATTTTAAATTACAAATAGTAATAAAAAAAGGTGCAACCTTAAAGAGTACATGTAGAAGTGCATATAAATATAATTTAAATTCAACACTGACTGCACAAATTGTTGAGAATGCTGATAAAAAATGATTTTTAAGGAATATTTTATTACTACCATTGTTTAGAATTATGGTATATGGTGATCATACCAAGCAACCTGACTTAGTTAATTTTATTATTGGTTTACATTTTCCCTTGCACATTAGCTCCACACTTAGCAGCAACTCAGAATGAGCTGCTTTAAAAAAAGGACTAGCAGCTGGGCACTGGTAGCTCACACCTGTAATCCTAGCTACTCAGGAGGCAGAGATCAGGAGGATCACAGTTTGAAGCCAACCTGGACGAGACCCTATTTCAAAAAAACCTTTCACAAAAAAGTGACCAGTAGAGTGGCTGAAGGTGTAGGTCCTAACTGATTTCAAACCCCACCTCTGAAAAAAAAGAAAAAGAGGAACAGCCAACTGGAATGGAACCCATCACCAGGATACTGAGATAAAAGCTGAGACCCCTGCATTCAAGCTAGTCACCTGGTAGAGCAAAGAAAGTTGCTCAGGAAGGTGGTTAGGGCATATCATCTCTACTCCTTTTACAGAAAATACTAGAAGATTCACCAAATAAGAAGATAAAAAGGAAGCAAATCAATTGTTGCTAGTAACCCTTGGAAACTGCGCATCTACAAACACGTTCATACACAGTTCAAGGCAAATAGTTTGAGAGACTCATCTCCAAAATAACCAAAGCAAAATGGACTGCAGGTGTGGTTCAAGCAGTACAGCACTGGCTTTGCAAGTGCTAAAGCCCTGAGTTCAAACGCCACAGCCAGCAAAAAAAAAAAAAAAAACTTCTTATTTGTATTACTAAACTCAAAGTAATTTGTGAACATATTATCAGTTAATTTGTTGGTATGGATATTAAACTTTATTTTGTGACAATCTTAAGTTATATTTTGCATTTCTATAGTTTGCGAGAATATCTGGAGCAGCAAGAAATATCTCAGTTTTGCAACGTGGAAGAGAATTCAGCTAATGTTACCAAGTTCATGAATATCTTTTTCCCTGATTTTAAAATAATGAAAAGTCTGAAGCTGGAAAGGACACTGGCATTACTGCGGCCAGATCTCTTGCAGGAAAGGAAGGGTAGGAAATAAAGCACTTTGTAGATAGAATTGAATATTAATTTAATAATTTATCTATAATAATTAATAAAACTTTTTTTTGTAGTTGAAGAGTTTACAAAGCATTTTCTAAACTGTGACTCTGTTAAGAGTCATTTTTACCATTGCAGGAATTACTAATGTCTTAATTCAGAGCTCTGGGCAACCCTAATTAATAGTGTGACTTGGATAAGGTATTTCACCAGACTATTCATTTGTAAAATTCAGAAGATTAGAATGAAAAAGAAAGTACAAGTAGAGTGCCTGGCACTTTAAATGCTATTTTGTTTGTTTGGTTGGTCGATTGGTTGGGTTTTGTTCGGGAATGGAACCCAGTGCCTCACAGGTGCAAGGTTGTTTTAAACCCACATTCACATGGTAGAGTTAATACCACAGAGTAAGAACAGAGGCTTATATTAACCCTTCTTTTGTTAATATCTAGTGTTCAGAAACACAATTGATACTGTCTGTGGATCTTTTATTTTCTGACTTGCTGAATTCAGTTTTAGGAGTTTTGACGTCGTATCTTTGGGAGTATCCTTAGAACAGGGTTTCATAAGCGGGATCTACTTACAGCTGGAGTCAGGTAATTCTCGGTTGAGGTGTGGTGGGGAGCTATGTCATGTACTGTGCTGTAAGAGGCTGAATGGCATCCTTGGCCTCTGTTCTCCTGAGGCCAGTAGCATTCCTCCCACTCCCAGTTGTGGAAACCAAAAATGTCTCTAGACTTTGCCAAATCTTCCTTGCTGGAATTTACCAGTGAAATTATCTGGGCCTGGGATATTCTTTGTCTGGAAGGTTTTGTTTTGTGTCTGTTTTTGTCTTTTTGCCTTTTAAATCTCTTTTTACTGTGTACATATTATCTTTAAATGAATAACCTTATTTTTAGAAAAGTTTTAGATTTATAGAAAATTAACCTCATACAGAGTTCCCACATATTCATCCATGTGTTCCCATCCCGTGTCTCCTACCACTAACATCTTGTATTTTTGTGATATAGTTACAATTAATGAACTGATATTTCAGTATTATTAACCAAAGGTCACAGTTCACATTAAGGTTCACTCTTTGTTTTGCACATTCTAAGGATTGATACAAAATATCATGTATCCCTATTACAGAATCATACAGAATGAATCATTGCCCTGAAAGTCACCTACGGATCCCTACCCCACCCCCACCCCCAAGCCTCTGGAAACCACCAATCTTTTTGCTATCTCTACAGTTTGTGTTTCCAGAAAGACATACGATTGGAGTCATATAGTTTTTTCAGACTGACTTCTTTCACTTAGAAATGTGCGTTTAAGATTCCTCCATGTCTTTTTGTAGCTTGATAGCTCATTGCTTTATTTTGATGAATAATATTCCATTGTATGGATATAACCAAGTTTATTTATCAGATTACCTATCAAAGAATACTTTGCCTGCTTCCAGTTTTTTACGATTTTGAATAAAACTGCCGTAGACATTCACAATGGGCTTTTCTGTGTAGACATGCGCTTTCAACTTAAGTGGGTAAATATCTAAGATCATGTGGATCATGTGCAAAATTGTGTTTAGCTTTCTAAGAAACTATCAAAATGCATTTCAGTGCAGCAATGACTCAGAGTTGCTGTGGCTCTGCATCCCTGCCAGCCTTTGGTATTGTCAGTGTTTGGACACTGACTGAACTAGGAGTATGCAATGATCTCTCATTGTTGTTTTAATTTACAATTCCCCAAAAGACACAAGGCTGAATGTCTTTTCATGTGCTTACTAGCTATGTCCATACCTTCTTTTTTAATTTAAATGATGTCTTTAATGAAAAAATACTTTCCAAAATAAATAAGAAATTTAGTTCTAAGAATGGGACGCTTACATTTTTGCAAATTTCTCTGGCAGCCTTTTCAGAAAACTATAGATAGTCTTTGAGACTATACCCACACTTGACAAATAATAGCCCATAAATTAGTTACAATGGGAAAAATTCAAAACCATTGTTCTATTTTTCACTTTTTTTTATAACACATGCTATTAAAACATTTTCATCCAAAAATATTGGTTCATTGAGTTTGCAGATCTTCCAAATGTTAACATTATTTCATTAAGCAATAGTAAATAATTATATCCATTTCTATTGTTATAGATTTCTTTTAAGAATTGAGATGTTAAGCTTCCAGTATTTCTAAAATTTTTAATTTTTGCTTGAAACTTCTAATTTTATCATTGTCAACATATTTTCATTGAAGTAACAAGCTTATTTCATTGTTTCCAAATTTTTAAAAACACCTTTATTTTATTTTTGATTTAATACATTAGTTTAATACATTAATAATATGAGGGTGTTTCATTGTATAATTCCATAGATGCATACAGTGTACCTTGAACAAGTTCACCCCCTTCTTTATATTCCTATCCTCCTCTTACTCCCCCTCCCCTTTCAGTGTTTGGTGGGTTTCATTATGCTATCTCCATAAATATATATGCAGAGTGTACTTTCACCCTCTTCACCCCTTGTATCCTTTCCTTCCCTCCACCCTCTCTCACTGATGCCTCCCAGACAGTCTTCCATATGCATTCATGTCCTAATATTATTATTATCATCAAAATTATTTTAGGTCTAGGTTCTACAAACAAGTGAGAACATGAGATATTATTGGACCTTTTAAGCTTGGCTTATCTCACCCAGCATGATGATCTTCAGTTCCATCTATTTTTCTGCCAATGACATCATTGCATTTCTCTATGTGGCTGAGTTACATTCTTTGAGATATAGATAGATAGATAGATAGATTTAGATATAGATATAGATATACACCTCCATACTGATTTCCGTAGTGTTTACACTATTTTACATCTCCTCACATCCTCACCAGAATTTCTTGTTTGTTTTCTTGATCATTGCCAATCTGACTGCATGAGATGGAATCCAGTATAATTTTTTTTTTGCATTTCCTTTATGGCTAAAGATGTTGAACACTGCTTCATGTATTTATTAGCCATTTACATTTCTTTTTCCGAGGACTGTAAATTCATTTGCCCATTTATTAACTGGATTATTTGTTCTGCTGTTTAGTTTTTTGTGTCCTTTGTATATTCTGGACATTATTCCTTTATCTGTTGACTAGCTAGAGAAGGTTTTCTCCCATCCTGTGGGCTGACTCTTGACTCTGTTAACTGTTTTTCTTTCTTTCTTTTTTTTTTGATGTGGAGAAACTTTAAAATTTTTGTTCTTATTTCTTGGACAATAGCTATGTCTCTTTAGATCTTTTGAAATAGCTGGAAGAGATGATATTGAATGTATTTACACAAAGTATGATGAGAGTTTGGGGAGATGGATGTGATAATTGCCATAATTTAATTACTTCACATAGTCTTTTCCCATATCCAAGTTGAGTTGTTTGTTTTCTTATTGAGTTGTAAATTACTTTGGATATTTTGAAAAGCTTCAAAATCAATATTCAAAATATGTTGATACTTTTTTAGCAAAAAACTTATAGACTATCTATACATCATGGGATTTAATATTTTTTGAGAATTTCTGTATCTATGTTCATGATAGCAATAAGTCAGTAGCATTCCTTTCCTTTTTTGGCAATACTGGGGTTTGACCTCAGGGCCTTACACTTGCAAGGTAAGTGTTCTACCACTTGAGCCATACCTCTTAGCATTCATTTCTTATAATGCCTGCATTTGATTTGGTATATGATTAATAGAGGTTTTGTGATATGAGATAGGAAGAGTTTCCTTTGCTTCTTTCATCTGGTATCAATTAGAAAGAACTGGTAGAATTTCTTCCTTAACTGTTTTGTAGAATTCATCAATGAAACTATCTGGGTATGTATGGTACTTTATTTCTTGGAAAGTTATTTATAATTAAATCCACTTTTGCTCATAGATATAGGCCTATTCATATCATCTAGATTTTATTATGTGAATTTTAGTATTATTTTCCTTCAAGGAATTGGTCCATTTTAAATAAGTTAGCAAATTTACAAGCACAGAGTTTTTCTTAACTTTTCAAACTGTCAGTTTAATCCCAGTGGGTTCTGTAGTGATAGAGTGATGACTCTGCTTTCATTTATCATTGCAGTAATTTGGGTCTCCTTTTTCTTTTTCCTTTTTGGTTAGTATGTTTCATAACTTTAAAAAAAATCTTTGTAAGGAACTGTCGAATGAAGACTATGCCATGTGTGGAAAAGAACAATTTATTACAGACTGCTGGGCTGACCCTCAGGTTCAGGGTGCATCAGGTTGGCTGAAATGGGTAGTGGGCTTTATAGGAGGGGCCAAGCCATGGGGGAGGGAGAGAGTCTCTGGTCTCCGATTATCTGTGATCACCAGATGGAACAGGTCGATATGCCTGACTAGTTGAGTAACTGGAAGTTCCTGAGTTTTGTAAGCAGAGAAACAGGGAAACAATTAGGGAAGTTTGGCAAGTGGTCATAGATCAAGGGGTCTGGTTTCGGTGCTAGCCTTGGGACCTTCCACCTGCCCCAAGAATGCCAGGGACCTAACAATCTTTATGAGGAACAGTTTGCTCAATTTCATTGATTTCTGCACTAAGTTTTGTTATTGTTTCACTGTTCTTCCTAAACTGTAACCTTAGACTATTGACTTTTTCTATCGCATACATTTAATGTTATCAATACAATAAATATTCATTAGCATGACCATAAATTTTGATAATCTGTGTTTGTATTTTCATCTAGTTTAAAGTATGTTTTAATTTTTTTGAGAGTTCTTCTTTGACCTGTATGATATTTAGAATGTATTGCTTAATTTCCAAATATGTTGGAATTTTCCAGTTACCTTTGTTACTCATATCCATTTTAATCTCTTTGGGGCTTCACAGCATACTTTGTATGATTTCTGTTCCTTTAAAATTGTTAAGATGTGTTTTGTGATCAAGAATGTCTTCTATCTTGGTGAATGCTCCATATGAACTTGAGAAGAACATTTATTTTCCTATTGTTGGATGAAGTAGTCTATGAATGTCACTTG